GAACAGCAGCAGGGTGTCGAAGCGCGTCGAGGCGCCGCCGCGCACCAAGGACAGCAAGTCCATGAAGAAGACCTCGTCGAGGAATACGAGTACGAATATGAAGAAGAAGAGCTACAAGGCCCAGACAGAGAATACGGGAGACATCGTCGCCGATGGGCGCCGTACCACTTGGAACGGCCCGAAAGGGAGCACCATGGCCCTAGAAATGCTAGAGCAGGACGGAGGAGGCACTGGGGCGGAGCTCGCGGACAGTACGACGATGCCGAGGAAGACGCTGATGACGAACACGAGCACGAACACGAGCAAGCGCAGGTACCGCCTCAAGACCAGCTGTTTGCAAGGTTCCTAGAGGCGATGGCCAGGACTATGGGCGCAAACAAGCCTAAGAAGTACAACGAGGCACCCAAGTACGACGGGGAGACGGACTACACGATCTACCAGATCCAGTTCGACACCGTCGCTGAGGCCAACAACTGGAACGCCCAGGACCGCAAGACGGCCCTGATCCAGGCCCTGACAGGGAGTGATACGGACGTCATTGCCAACCTCAAGCACCAAGAAGTGCCAATCACCTATGAAAGTCTGGATGAGGCTCTCATCAGAACCTTCGGCAGGTCTGCCTCCATGTGGGAGCGCAAGAAGGACTTCAACACGCTCATGCAGGAGAAGGACCAGACCGACAGGCAGTTCTCACGGCAGGTGGAACGGTTGGGGAGGGCGTACCTCCGCAACATGAAAGAGCAAGACATCCAGGAGGCGCTGGTGGAACGGTTCATCAAGGGCTTGGCCGACAAGAAGGCGGCATCACGCCTGGCATTCGCAGCCCTACCAAACCTGGATGAGGCCTTGAAGACCCTCAACAGAGGCCTAAGCCTCCAGGTGGAAGAACCACCAGCAAAACGAGTCCGGCTGACCAAGACGGAAGAGAAGGAGGAAGGAGAGATTGAGGAAAAGGACGAAGCTAAAGAGGAGAAGACCTACAAGGTCAACATGGTCTTCCCCTCCAGCTCAGCTTCCACGTCCAAGGCGGACGCTCAAACCCAGCATGGCCGAGGCCGAGGCCGCGGCAGCAGAGGGCCGAGAGGAGGAGGGCGAGGTTCAAGTAGAGGAAGAGGTGGCTGGTCAGGCTCTGACAGGGAGATGATTTGCCACGTATGCAACAGGAAGGGCCACAGGGCCGCTAACTGTTGGCACAACAAAGGCAGGACCCCCATAGAAGACATAGTCTGTCACACCTGTGGCAGAAAGGGTCATATGGCGCGGAACTGCCGGAGTGGAGCTGGCAGCAGCAAGGGAAGCTCAGGCTTCGCCATGCCCAATGTACCACCCGACCTCTACAAGGCCACCATGCAGTGGTTTTTGAGCCAGCAAAACGACCAGCAACCCTCTACCAGCAAGGGCAAGAGTCCCTATGTCCCCAAGGACAAAGAAAAAGAGTCGGAAAACTAGAATCAACTTCCATTGAAACGGTGGGATTGGAGGTTGAGGAGAAGACTGAAAAAGTTCATGTAAAACCACCGGTGACCAAAA